GTTGGAGCTGGAGGAGCTTTAAGGTCCCCTCATGCCAAACCAGTCTGGGATTCTATGAAAATACAAGTTGTTCCTCTAGTGAGCATAAGGGCCACAGTTTCCTTGCCTGGTTCATGCCATGGCTCACACCTCTGCTGAGCTGCGCCCAGCACCACCCAGGTCCCACATGAGGGACCCTCTGGATGCATCTAACAGTCAGTCCAAAGCAGAGGAGCAGGATGCCCAGCAGGACCCTCCTCCCCACACTCGCCTGCCCCAGCAGCTGCTCCAGCAGCTGTTCCCACCAGTTGGTGGCTGAATTTTATAAGCTATCTGTCTGTAATTAAAAAGCAACAGCACTTTGGCAGCCATTAGAAAAATGCATCACTGGATTGCATCCCACGGGGAGTACTTCTGCAGCGGAACACGGGGCGACGCCACCGATGTGGCCGTGGAGGACTTGCCTATTTCTAAAGCCCAAAGATTACCTGCTGCACTGCTCTGCCAAGACCACCACCAGCATCCAAAGCCACAGGCTCCGTTTGGGCTGGTTGTGGGTCAGAACTGCTCGTCTCCAGCCTGATGCCACTTCAACCTGGCCTCTGCCAACACATCTGGTTGCAAGGTGCTCTGCGGCGCAAGCGCGAGGGGTCGGGGAGCTGCAGGTTTGTGGGGAGGTTGTAAAACACAGGTCTTGCACAAGAGGATTTTCTCCATTTGGAGCACGTTACGACATTGTGCTCGTGCCAGCTGAGCAGCACACCCAGAATTAGCAAAGCTTGGGCCAGACAAAGCTTGGCACAGGAGGGAGTGGGAAGAGGCCCCTGGGGAGCAAGTTGGTGCTCCCCGCTCCCATGCCTGGCTCACAGAGCTGGTACTTTGCTCCAGAAACAGTCTTGAGTGGCCAGAACCTTCCATAGCAGGCTTTTCCCGTGGTGTGATGGGAGCCTGGCTACGGGAAGGAGATGCTGCACTCCAGAGGGGCTGAAGGATGGCTCTGGATCAGGGGCACACGCTCAGCCACATCTCCCCTCTCACACAAGCAGGGAACCAAGGCTGCCTCTGTCTTCCCCACCAGATGAGATGCTGCTGAACACTGTGGGATCTGTGCCATATGTTCCAGTGGAAGCCTGCAAACAGATTTGCAAACCCTTGTGTACACAGTGGATAAATGCTTAATAATCGTGATGACAAACAGACCTGAAACCCAGAAACAGCTTCGCTCTGCATTAACTGCAACAGGAACAGGTTCCACTAAGCAAAAGCTTCCCTTTAACCAGGACTTCTTACAGGGACAAAAGGCAACAGGCAACAAATAAAGCCCATGGTACGTCAGATCCCAGGACATCACCTGCCTGTAGCTTCCCTGGCATGGCCATTTTCACATGCTAACGTGGACACATCTGCACGTGAAGCTCTGGGGCACCAGGAGCCCCGATCTACATCCACACCAGGGTGCAAACATATGCACCTCCCTGGGAGCTTATGGCCAAGTTAGCAAAGAAACTAATGCAGAAGGAGGTTAAACTCCCTGTTCATGGTGTTTTGCCAAGCTGGGATTAGAGTCTGGGACTCCTGGCACCCAGAGCCACGATTAATCCACCAAATGTTTCTACCTCCACCCCAGCCTCCATGTGCCAGGCTGGGTACGGTGGTGAAGCAAAGTCCTCTCATCTCCATCAGTGCCTGCCTTTCTCTTCCACACTCACTGGAGCCCATCTACCCCTCGGGGATCAGAGCAGACTTAGGCTGGTAGGAAAATACCTTTCCTATGTAAACCATGCGTTCTGCCATTTCCCTCTCCAAATTACACAGTGTCACAGATCGTAAGCCCTCTAAACAGAGAGGCTTCAGTTGAGGAACAGATCTCCATAAAGGCTGGGATTAAGGCCCTGCACATTAGAAAGGAAAGAAGGAGGGAAAATATGCCCCGTTTAATTACCCAAGCCATAACAACATTTTACTATTTCACACACGACTCCTGACAAAGGGGAAATGTTATTTTCCACCAGCATAGCTGCTGCTTCTACTACAAATAAATAGTCCGGGGCGCGCTCCCCACGCCAGAGATGGAGGCCATGTGTTTTCATTAATTCTCTTGGCAGAGAAGCCCATGTAGGTTTTGGACTGCAGCTCAGGACTGGAACAGGAGAGCTGGGGTGGCCAACATACATCACAGCAGACTCCACTTGGCCCAAGTCCACTTACGAGCTGGTCCAATACACAGGTTTATCATCCTAATTACGAGCAGATTCCCAGCTCCCTCCCCTCCTTGCAGAGGTATCTTCAGCTTTGCCCTTTTCTTCTTCCCCTCTGGCTGGTTGAGATCAGCAGGTGAATTGCATCCCTTTGTTATCACTGAGAGACAAAGTTTGGCCTCTTTCATTTTCCTCTTATTGCAGCTTCTTTTGTGTGGATTAAAATAATGGATATTGATAATGCGATCTGCCCCCTGCCCCTGTTCCCAATTACTCACACAGACTGGGGATCCTGCATTAGGGATATGACAGGAATGGTCTTAATTAGCCCTCGTGGGCTCCAGGACTGATTCTGGTTTTGATTTGAACTATCTGGGATTATGCAGGCTGACTGCTGCGGGCTGGGGTCACGGCGGAGCCGGCCGGGGGGTGCTGGGGGGCTCCCTTGGAGCTGGCTTTTCTCAGCCTGCTGCCAGGGGCATGGCGGGGCATGGCAGAAAGGGAGGACAATTTACTGCAGCCACCTCTGTGTTTGAGATGAAGAGTGACAGCACTTCTTTGCATCCAAAGTGTTATTCGGAATGAAGCAGGACACCAATGGGGCACCAAGAGCTCACTGAGCAGCAGCCTGTGCAATGGGGCACCCTGGCATTCAGTGGGTGAAACCCATTGGAAGTAGAAGATGGTAACAGAAAGATGAAGGAGCATTAAAGGTGAAAAGGTAGATAGAGCTTTCTGGACCTGCAAAACTCCAATAAGCAGTCAGTTAACCAGGCACGAAAAAGAAAGGTGTCAGCACCTGGGAAAATGATGGATTTTTTTCCTG